CCAAATATTAAAGGATGTCTGTCATGATCTTGGCACTGATGGCTGACCTAATTGCTCACTCCATTCACCTGTCTTACTCTGGCTGGTTGTTCATTACTGCTCATCTAATCCACCTGCTGCTGCTTGTTAGGAATCCAGTTTGTGTGGGTTGTTTGTGTGTTTTTCTCTCTCCACAACCAGGTGGTGCCCTTTCCTCGTTGGGCCTCCCTGCACACCTGCTTGTTGGATCATTACTGGAGGAGTATTTGAACAGTGGGCTGTCACTACCTTGATGCCAGAGTGTTTGCCAGTTTTGAGTACTCTAGCCAAGCTAAGATTAGCAGAGTCTAACCTAAGCTTTGTTTCTCTAAGTCTTATCTAGTTTTTGTCTTTGCTCTTCGGCAGGAAGCCTTCCTGAGTAACTCGATATCTGGACCTTCTCAACCTGGAAGGATTAACTGAGTACACACTGAGCAGGGGAAAACCTCCACATGACCCATTCAAGTCCTCATTGGAAATCCAAGGGACAGTCCACTCCTTTACTTCTCTGGGTCCAACGCTTGTCTATCTGTCCGCCCTCCAAGGAGTCCCCTCTTCTCTGAATTAACCCCCACAAGCTGGATTCAAGGATTGACAAGAGCCCCCTCAAACGTGAGTCCCTCTGAAGGGGAGATCACAGTGATCTCCCCTTCAGACTTTCCAGTTCCAGTTCACCAGTCCACCGAGTTTATAATCCAACTTCTGTTATTTATCTACATTTAATAAACCTGTTAAACTTTTTCCCTTGGTCTCTGAGTGGTTCTCCACATGTGGGTCAGATCACTTAAACCACTCATGACACTGCTTCTATTTATACAGCTCAGTCCCAGCCATTAGGACCAGATTATTGCTCTTGCTCTAGTGTTTGTTCTCGGGGGCAACAGAAGAGAGGGTTTTTAGCTTTCCATAGTGTTCCTGACTTGTAATCCTGATCTGCCTCTTATGAGCTGAGCGTGCCTGTTCCCATCTGAACATTCTGCCTGAACTATCTGTGGACTACTGGAACCCTGAACCAGCCTGTTCCTGTTCTGATCCGTTTCCCTGACCTTCCTCGGACTCTTGCTTGTTGAGTGTCCAAGATGCTGCAGAATCTTGGACACTCTGGGTGGTGCTCGCTGCATATCCTTGGCAGCCCGACGGCTAGATCCAACCTCATTCTATGGAGATGGACTGAACTGTTTTAAACCAGGTTAGTGACTCATACTATAATCATTCTCCGTGAGATTATCATGGTCCCTAATCTGTGTTTTTCTCTACCCAGAGTTTCCAGTGATGGGCGGTGCCCCACCGAGCCTCTGATTCCGTGGATCCACAGCACTAAGTTACTCATAAACTCTTCTTAATTCATTACTACTAAACGCTATCCCACTGTCTGTCTCGCCTTGAATACTGTTTCCCACAGTGAGAGTTATTACAATGTCGATAGGAACCACATGACAAAAAATTGCTCTATGCAGATTACGTTCTCTCCATGTTAACTGACCTTACAAAATCCTTTCCAGTGCTAATCAGTAGCAGTATAACTCTGGACAGATTTCCAGTTATCTGGCAGCTTTGAAACAATGTGATCCTGACTTTATGAAACCAGTTCAATGGGCTCCTGGTGGTTTCACCTAAGATTATACCTACAGGCTGTATTTTCCACATAGAGGTAAATGTAGTCCTTGAGGCTGTGTGTGATGCTGTCAGTGTCCTCCCTATGAGCAGAACAAAATTCTTTCCTCACAATAAAGCTGAATCAGGCCTCTTCAGCCATCTATTCACTGTAAAAGACACAACTGGCTCTCTGTGTAAAAGGTTTAATATACAGACTGGAGAAAAACCAGGTTGTATGCATGAAAAAAAAATAAGATTCTTTGATTTCATAGTTACTTTGTGAATGAATCTTATAAATGTAAGTTAATTTTAAAGGTTTTTTTTATACTTCCTAACATTGATGTGTGTTAATTAGAGTTTCACTAGTTTTGTATTCAAAGAAAGTATTCTAAAAGATTTACTAAGTAACTTGGAAAACCACATTGTTTTCTCCCCATTAAATGGGGCCAAAATAACTTCTTTAAAATTTAGTAGCTCTTTAAAAAAGGTACTTTCTGTAGTCTTTACCACATTTTATCTTTAACCACCTCTAGGTTATAACCACTGAAAGTGAAACTTTTACCCTGCAACACTTCAGCTAATGATCTATGGAAAAAACAGATCATTTAGATACTTTCTCCTGTGGTATTAGTAATAGGTACCCATTAGTGTTTGAGTTCACAGGCTTGTGCTTGAATAACGCATAAAGATACACATACACGCAGTCTGGTGGACTACGTGGCAAACTGCACATGCACTGTGTTTTCCTCAACCAAAAGGCAGTAGGTGGAGCACTTTATCGTGAGTCATTGTGGGGGTCATTCCTCCTCCTGTTGAACCCACATCCACTGAGATGCAGGCAGAGGTCCCAGTTATTAATGAAACAGAAGACAAAATATTGCTTATAAATTCTTGTGAAAAGATAGAGCTCTGGATTTATGTTTATATTCAGATGTTTTTACATATATTATGTTGGTTACCAGTCTCTTGAAGTAAAAAGAAATCCAACAAAATAGGAAATGTCAATGTTATGGTCATATTTTAATTGAATGAGAGCAGGGAACACTTCATCGCAGATTCCTTAAACACAAAGTGATATCAGAAAGGATCCCATCAAATTCAAATTATACTAGTTTACTTGTTGAATATGCAATTCTCAGTGAGGAAAAAATTGCTTTAACCTCCCTTACCCTCTCTCTTGTGTAACAATTGCATATTTACTCCCATGTTGACCCCTGCTTACACTGAACTCACCACTGTTTTCATCCATTTTTCAAACACATGCAGTCCAGGTGGTCTGGAAAACCAAGCTTCACCCAGGTGTGAGTCCTAGTGTGGGACTTTGGGCTGGAATAAATGTGGCTAATAAATGATTTAGAGACAAAGACAAAAGTAAATGAGAAATTTTTTCCTGATTGCTGTAGTGAAAGATTTTATATTTATTGTTATAAAATTTTTCATCATAGAAGAAATATTTTGTACTATACTGGAAGATGAATTGTGTAACTAAAAGTGACAGGAGTGAGGGCTTGGATGGCATTTTGAAATGTGGCAACACATAAATATTTTGTTTGAGGAGGAACATTGGCTCCCTCTGTTGGACACTAAAATGTTCTCTTACTTAAAATTAATATCAACGGACGTTAAACATTGCACAAGTTTAGAATGCGGAGTAACTGCAAATGTTTAGTAAGAAAAACCCTACAAAGATTGTGATGAAAAATGTATATATGATTTGAAAAGCTTTGATAAATGAGTACCTATTTTGAATATTAAAGTAGCATCTTATCTTTTTTACTTCATTTTGTTGGGTTTCTTTTTACTTCGTAAAAAAAATAAGTAAATCATAGCCAAAATTAATATCATTTATCTTGTTTTAAATTTTATTTTGGTGGAATATTGTGCATCAAATATGTGAAATGACTCATATTTTATTCACTTTTAGATTTTTTGGAGCATAATCTCACAGGAAATTTGCCAGATTTCTCCACCAGTGAACCTCTGGCATAACCTCCGTGCATGTTGCCTGTGTCCATCCTTGTTCACCACTGCCCAAGTAGGGTTAATTTTTTCTTAATGTTTGCTCTTTTAGGAATTACCCTGTTATTTCTACTTTTTAAGGCATTTTTTTCACTTTTGCAACAAATCAACAATAATAAAGATTCAACAATACTGTGATTGCGCAATTGCTTTATTGAATGCAACATTCAATATATGACAACAAAGTAAAACAAAGGAAATCTGGCAGACAAGCATAACTTATACAATTATTAGTTTGTAAACAATTAGTGCATAAAATATTTGTAATTCAATACTTTTTAATCCCATTGAAATTGACAAAATGCATTTTTTTTTACTGTAAGCTGTAACAGAGTTAAATAGATTTGTTGAATTAAAACTAATTACTATCAATCATAAATCAAACAAAACAGTGAAGAGTAAAATGAGGATACAGTTGAGTTTTTCTTAGACAGGTTAAGGGATGTAAACCAGGTATCAAAGCCTACAGGTCACAAGTGGTTTTTAAAATTGCAGTACAGCCTGAAAACGTAGCATTTGTGTTCAACAGCCAAGAGTGAATATTCAGAGAAGATGGCCAGATTGAAAATGTTCATTGTTGTGCCAACTTTCTGCTCCAATAGAAGAAGAAATGAAGAATATCTGAATAACAAACAGTTTTTTTTTGAGTGCTGTCTGGTTCTGCTTGTTGTTTATCTTTATTTATCTCTCTGAGGATGGGTCACATTTCCAGGACACCCAGGAAGAACCGACTGCAGCTGTATGACGATGACCTTACTGGCTGTATGGTTTTACTGGATCTGAGGAGAAATATATAAATTACTTAGACTTAGATTTATTTTGTCATTTTGTATACACCAGTGTAAACAAAAAGAAATTTTGTCTAAAACAGCTCTATAAAATTCATTTTTTAAAGTGCAGCCTTGAAAAAAGTAATAAATACATTAAAAAATTGTAATAGTCATAATAGTAATATATAGTACTACCCTCATGTCTTTAGAAAATCTGTCTAAAAATGGGAATTTAGAATAAATATTAACACCAAACGCAGAATCTCTTCAAAAAAGATGATATAGTGTTTCTGCTACACAGAGTAAACTACCTCATTGGTCTCAAGTTCATTGGGGTCTTGCAGATCTTGAGGGTCCTGAAGGTCCAGGGGGCCCTGAAGGTATACAGGGTATTTATGTTAAGGTATGTTCTGATCATCTGTCTGGGCTATGCCCAGCTTTAAAATTATAACAAAAAATTTCCCAGCATTATTTTAAATTACGGGTTACATTATAATAAAGGTGAAACTGACCTCTCCGTCACTGGCTTTTAGGCAATTAGCTGAAGATGCTGTAACATTAAAGTAAAACAATGTTTTTATACAGGTGATTGTAGAAAAAATAAAACACGCATCATGTATATATCAAGTATATGACAATGTTTCTCTGCGGGATGAAAAAGCTGCTTTTCTCACCAAAGCCACAGGATGTCTCCCTCCATGCCGACAGGTCCAGGCGACGCAGACCGGAGCACTGCACCAAACGGTTTCTATTTGAGATGATGCTGAAAGCATCAGCAGGCACGGATGTGATGCCGGTGTTGTCACAGATCACTCTGGAGAGTGTAACAGCGGACAAAGCCTGCCTCTGCCTTATTGTAAAAACGCCGGGGTTCTGGTGCCAAAGTCTGAAATGTTTACAAATGTTGATCAGTTATCCCATTTGATTGTATTTTTTCCAACTTGTCCTTACACTGAGTCATACACTGATATACTGACCTGTCACCCTGACGGATCTTCTGGAATTGAGTTGCAATGAGGCAGGCGAAAAGAGGCCCCACACGGCCGCCAGGCACAAATGGCTCTGCGACACCTCCAAGCCAAACATCAATGTTTTCAGGGGTCCCGTAGAGTTGAAGCAGCTTACGAGCCAGCTCAGCATTCCCTAAAACCTGAGCCAGCTGGGCCTGGTTCCTTGGCTGGGACAGACCACAGAACTTGCGCCATGCATTGTAGCCTGAAACAGATCAGAAGAATGAGAAAGTTCAAGAATATTATTAAAAAATAAAGTTGTTACTGAAAAAATATGAATCAATTTGTGCTTTTGTTAGCATTTAACAAAGGTAATTGATGTGAAGTCATATTTTTTTTATGTAAAAAATCTCAAACATTCCCAGTGATGAACTTTTTGACTCTTTTGAATATAACAACAGGTCATCTACATAGAGTATGATGTTGTGTTCTTTGCTGTTCTCTTCAATATTTCAAATCATTCCCATTTTACTCTTATGCTCTGACTTTCAGCCCAAAAATAATTAAAAAAAAATAAAAGGTAATTTAAAACAGATCTTAATTTTTGTATAAATTAATAAAAATATATATGTTTTCATTTATAAAACAAATTTTTTTTAACTAAGGTGCTGTATAGTAATTAATGACATTGTTGAAGTAGCATCAAGCTGCGGTTTATGTGCATATTTAGAGGTTATACTTCCCTAGAAAGCTTAAAACATTAACTAAAAAATCCATCACATCTATGTAATTTACTTTAAATTATTTTATCCAAAGGTTTCTGAAGTACACTGGAGGATTGATGAGTCTAGCTAATTTCCTTGCAAGGTTTGATGAGTTAGAATGTGGATATCTGGCTTCAGCTTCCCCACTACCAGGTAAAATAAAAACATCACGTACCAGGCAGGCCATGATCACGACTCCTTTGCATGTTCAGAGAACCCAGATCCAAAGCCAGGTGCATGACAAACTGGAACAACCTCTCCCTGAGAGCATCCACCATCATGTGATCCTGGGTGTTCAGTTTAGCAGGACGGCCCATCAGACCCCGCAGCAAAGGGTCGACTCCACCTGGAGAGAGTTAAGAAAAATGTAGGTTTTATCATAAAAACTCAATAACAGGATTGCTTGAATTATCTCTGTGCTGCTCACCCTCAAAGATGACTCTCCATGGGGTGAAGAAAGCCTCATACAGGGGGACACTGGGGAAGCGAGGATGCTCTCTGTAGTTAGTGTCCAGTCGGAACAAAACTGGCTGGATTGCCAGGTGAGCAAAACGGTAAGCTGCTGTTGCAAAAACATTAGCGATGCTGGGGTCAACATTAGGGTTGTAGCCAGGGTAACGTCCCAGCTGATTGCGCATTGCGTCTGGACCAACAATGTGAGGCAGATAGTCCCTGAAGACAAACATCTGACACACAAGATAAAGCAGATGAGCACACAATAACAGCTTCTGGAAAAATGGGGATCCTCAATGATTCTTGTGGTTGGTTTACCTGGGTGTAAGCACCCGTGATCTTGCGGGCCTCTTGGTAGAGTGTCTCACTGTCCCAGTGTGGGTTGAGCCGTTTCAGCTGACGGGCCAAACGGTTGTGTTCACGCATGAACAGAGTGTGAAGGGATGTCAGGGCAATGTTCTCATCCACACGGCCATCACCTGCACCGGAATGAAACAATAGCTTATTTACTGCTATAAAGATATTATTCAGATACAGGAATAAATAGCATTTATTAATAAGGCTTTTTAAAATATCAAATAAGAAACTGTTATGTTTCCCAATAAAGTATATTGTGAATTTAGTTGCAGGTTATTAAGAGCTTAGAAATGTTATATGACGTTTGATTGATTTTTTTAAAGGAAAAAATCTCAAGATTAGCAACAGAAAATGCTAAAGTGCTTCCAAGCTGTGTTTCTTAAACCCAAAGGTCTTTCTTATGATTTTTTTTGTAAATTGTAAAAAAACAATTCAAATTCCACTTTTTTTTTTAAATAATGTATATACCATTATTAATTTTTTTTATATATTAACTGCTGATTCAGATTTATTAATTTTTTTTACCCTATCTAGATAAACCAAATGAGTAAAATTATTTTTAAAAGTTTTGTGTTTTAATATGTGCAGTGTTAGGCAGATTTTGTCTTATAACTGCAGATTATTTAATTTTAATTCTTATTTAAATTCTTTTAAAAATCTCACAAACCTGCGATAAAGCAGGGGACCTCCCTGGCGTTGGTATCGTTGGTGATTTTTCTGCGAGTGGCGCACATTTGCACCTGCATGGAGTGGAAGGGCAGGAGCTCACGCCCGTTGTCTCTGAATTCGGTGTTGACTCGCATCAGGCCATCATCGCTGGTGAGGTTGCGAAGGTTCAGGGCAAGCTTCTCATCTGAGCCATACACTTGCCCCAGATCAAGAAAGGCTGTTAGGGAGTTGATCTGCTCCCTCTTGCTGGGCTCTCCACCAAAATTATAGGCAGAGTAACCTGTTCCACAGGCAGGGGCGGATCTAAAGGCTGGAATGCAGTTGTTTGGGCCATCAGGAATACGGGGGTCTCCTTTGGGGATCTGGTAATATAAAAAGGATGAGTTTTCAGCAAAAGAATACAAGGTTAAAAAAGAATTTGGTTTGAATTTTGATACCAACCGGGATAGGGATGCATGGCTCACTCTGCTCACAACTCTCATCACAGTTCAGACCATTGCTAAAGGAGCGGATACTAGGCGAGAATGGTGTAAAAGTGAGATCATGGTCATTCCACTGGCCAAACAAGGTCACCATGTGACTGTACTCAGTGTCATTTACGACGCCTGCGTCTGTGGTACTCAGGATGTTGTTGGACACCTGTCGTACCTGAAAGTCCAGAGCAAAATATTAAAACCTAAAGAAAAGGGTTGTGTAAATGGGTCAAGACATTAGAAATGAAGCTTGTACCAGAGGGAGCAAGAAGTTGTTGAATTTGCGGTTTCTGTCCCATCCTTTGGGTTGAGAGATGCCGTCGTCGTACTCAGAAGGCAGCCAGCGGGTAAATGGGGTGTTGGCCGCTCCAAGGCGAGGGTTTTTTCTGCAAAACAGATATGGAAGGGTCAGGTTTAGAAATGGTTGTTTTGAAATCAAACAGAAGTGAAGACATATTTTGCGGCGCATGGCCCAAGATCTTTCTGTAAGTTTCACAATCACTTCTCTAGAAGATACTTTTAGTTTAGCATTCCAAGAAAGTCAAAATTATGCCTTGCAAAATTATTTCCCAAGGGGAAGTAATTAAGACGGCTGATCTACTAATAATGCAAAACAGATGTTTTAGATCAAAGCACATCTTCGTGGTTAAAGCTTACAGGTTGTTGCAGACACTGGTGGCTGTACGGTACTTGTTGATATTTGGGGTGGTATGACATGGAGGATCCCTGATTCGGGCCTCACATCCAGTTATCCTTGCAAGTTCTTTCAAATCTTCTTCTGTGAGCAAATCTGAAAAATGAAGGATCCATGTATTCAGATGTTTTCTTTTTTAACCAGAAAAGGAAAAACTCAGCAATAACTCTGCCTTACCTGTTGCATTCAGGGAGCGCTTGTGCACACGATGTGCTTTTTCCTGGACCAAACGGAGAGTCTGTTCCATGTAATCAGCAGAGCGCACAGCTGAACGAGTGTCACCCCGGGGCTGCTTCAAGAGACGAAGAGCATCATGCGGCCGCACCACTTCCTTACGGACCCGTCTGAGACTCCTGTAGCGATAGAATGGAAATATCTCTTTGTGTAACAACAATTTCTGAGCTGTGCAATTGAGACACATTGGAAAAACTGCAATCCCTCCAGATAAGAGAGCATGTTGAACTTACTCTTCTCTGGAGTATTTGTAGGCATCATCCACTATTTTCTTTGCTTCTTTAAAGCATTGCTGAAGAAAAGGACTTCCAAGTCCTTCCCCTAGAAAAAGAATAATAAAGTAAAATAAATTTAATTTAATTTATTAAAAAGGTCAAAAACAGAAACAAAAGTGTAAAACAGTGTTTAGGAGAGGGAGACCTGTTGGTTTGGAGTAGCTGGGCACCAGGCTGAGGCCCAGGATAAGAAGGACGGAGAGAAGCATCTCTGAAACACAACATACAACAAATAATGTTTTTAAAACACAGAGAAGAACATAAGCATTTACTCCATGGATGAAAGTAAATCTTTCTACCTGCGTCTGGAAAGGCTTCTTTGGTGTGTTAAGATGCTCTTTGAGATCTGGAGGTAGTGATGCTTTCCTTAATGTCATGGTCCTCCTTATATTCAGTGATTGACCAAAGGCCCGCCCCTTTGCGGGGATAAGAAGCTGATGCTTTACTGTCAGGAAAAGCATTTCCTTCTTCCTTATCAATGCACTGCAGGAAACTTCATTTTTATCTAATCACTTACAGCTTCTTGTAAACTGATAGGAACAATGATCTGTTGTGGAAACCTATAAACAATAGCACAGGTGTCATTGGAAGGATTGGTCAAATAGAGCCACAAAAAACATGAAAACCTTAAGATCTAGAGATATATAATTTAAAACATTAAATAAAAATGTACCATCATAGGTTTTTTTATGGAAACAGAGAATAGAAATGCGTTTTTTCTTTGATATAAAATTGATAGGCATAGATAGATATGGATGTATTTGTTTTTAAGTTGCCGGATTTATGTTAGAAAATGTAAAGACAAGCTTTTCACCAATGCATGGAGAAAAGAGTGGTGCACTAATAAAATACACTGAATTTTACATTTGACTACAATTTGCATACATTTTATTTGGGATAGATTTTATCAAATATTTTTGTGAGGAAATCCTTACAGTTAAACATAATAAATAAAAAATAAAAAAATGACTGAAAAATGTTTGTCAGATTTCATCCATTTAAAAAAAAAATGTAAACGGTCAGGTGAGCTTACTTTAATAAATTTGTTAATTTCTTACAAAGTATCAGGAAAATTTTGCTCACAGTGTTGTTGCTCTAATAAACGTTAAAATCTATTATAACAACATGGTAAGTACAGTTAAGATCTACAATTTCTTCTCAACAACTTCCTCAAAGTTTAGAGAATTTGCTTGTATGTCAGTTATAATTTAGTATTTATAAATGAACAAAATTAATTACTTTTACAATCTTTTCATATATTAACTCGCCTGTTGACCTTTTCTCTGACAACCACAGCTGCTGCGAGCACCAATACACCAACATCTCATCTTGTGTTTTTAGCCAAAAAGTTGAATCTAACATACTTGATTAATGTTTGCATATATAAAGATATTTTTTCTATGTATTTTATAATAGGTATGCCATTCTTTTCTGATTAGCCATTTGTTATACCTGGATTCATACCTCAGAAACTAAGAAAGTATGATAGTTTTTGGAGAAAAGTTTTTGTTTCTGTCCTGATCTTACTGTAGGTGGTAGCTTTTAGTAGAATAACAACATAATATATCAAATAAATTAGAAAGCAGAAACACCTTTTTAGATGATAATAAAAATCCAAGTAAAAATGAAATTCTAATATTTGAAATTAGAGCTTATATTTTTTTAGCATTTAATAATTAAACAGAAATCCAAAATGTGGGAATTTTCACAAGGGCTGTCTCTACTGTAAATGTGAGTCAGTGGGATAGGTAAGAAAAATATTTGCCTTTGTCGGAGCTCAGTAATGAGGAAGAGAGAGAATTCATGTTAAGTTAAAAAAATTTTTCCTCTAAATGCACTTAAAGTGTGTATGGTTTTGGGTGGGGATGCCTTTGCTGCTCACACAATAGCTTTTTTATGTTGCTGTTGAAATAACACAGTGACACAAAGCTCAACACAAAAGAAAGTAATGTGCGTAAGCCTCGCCTGCCATTAAGTTAATTGACAAAGCACAAGTGAAAAGCAGAGGCTTAATCAATAATGCTTGATGTCATCCAAAGGCAAGTGGTACAACCGACTTCTCATGCTGTTGTTAGAATTTCTACTTTGACTACTTTTAAAACTTCTAATGTGATGAATTTAATAAGTACAAAATTCTTGATTTTTTTCTTGAATCCATCAGATAGAAAGGTTTGCTTAAGAAAATATTTAGCAAATTATGTGAAAACCAACCCAGTTCATTGTATTACTAAAAGTCAAGTAAAGGTCAGTGCTGACATGCAATAAAGTCATTTTAGGTTTGTCGTTTAATGGTAGTTAATAAAAGGGTTATCTAAATAACGCTCATTAATTACAGTGGATATTTGAGGTTTCAACAGTCCTTCTTACTGATAAAGCATCTAATGAAAATAGAAAGGAACTATTACCTCTAAATGGGATGCAAAGCTCCAACCTAACAATGGACCAGGTGCACTTTTTTTTTTAGAAGTAAAAACAACAAGAGTAAAACAGCTTAATGGTGGACATAACTGAGAGTAAAATTACTTACAGCAATACTATTGTCGTTTTATTTTACCAGAAAGAAAGACACAGGAAAAAAAAATATTGTCTACGAAAAGAAAGAATGAATTAAGTTATGTGAAACTAATAACTATTCAATGGATCTATAAAGGAAAGAGACAAACAAAAAAAATCTTGTATCAACAGTAATTACTATAAAAAAGAGAAATAAACGAAATAGAAAATTATTGAAAACAGTTTGATTCGTAACATAGATTAATTACAAATGTCTGATGTTTGTCAGCCTTTATTTTTCTTAATTGTAATGATTTTCTGCTTATGTCAAACACATAATTTAAAGTTAGATTTTTTTGAGTCAGACCAATAAATGAAAACATTTTGATCCAGAACTGTGGGCTAATACCTACTTAAAAAGGTGAAAATCAAAAAAAAAAAAGATAAGTTTAACATGGGGCTGCTCAGTGGAGCAGCGGATAGCACTTTGTTATGGGTTCTGGGTTCAATTCCTGGCCCTGAGTCTTTCTGCAAGGAGTTTGCATGTTCTCCCTGAGCATGCGTGGGTTCTCTCCGGGTACTCCGGCTTCCTCCCACAGTCCAAAAACATGACTGTTAGGATAACTGGCTTCTCTAAAGTTCCCTGAGGTGTGAGTGTGTGTGTGAATCGTTGTTTGTCCTGTTTGTCTCTGTGTTGCCCTGAGATGGACTGGTGACCTGTCCAGGGTGGACCCCGCCTCTCACCTATTGACTACTGGAGATAGGCACCAGCACCCCTCGTGACCCCACTTGGGATTAAGCGTGTCTGAAAATTGATGGATGGAAGTTTAATCTGTTAAATGAGCCTCACGATTAAGATACTGTACCTCTGACTATTGTTCGCTTTTGGTAGAAAAAATTAGACAATGCAAAGTATACGGCTTGCAAAGTTCAATTGAAATGACAGAAAAAAATATCCAAATTAATCCCAGAAATTTTTTCCCAGTTATTTCTATGGCAAAAGATAAACAGAAATGCTCAAGTTGAAACAATGGTCTAAAAGTATCTAAAGCTTAATATAGTAACATTTTGATTTACTACCTATTCAAAAAATTTGATTCTGTGTAAAACATATTTTGGTGAATTTGGTTTTTGCATTTCTAACTACTGGAAATTACAGTTCAGACTTTCATTAACTTTATTACTCTGATTTTACAGTTGCAAATTTGTCTCAAGATCATTTCATTCAGTATAACACAGATTAATGTATCTGCATAAATACGGCCATATGGTTTCCTTACTGATTTTTATTGTATGGTTTCTCTGTGTGTAATACTGATTTCTGAACATTGGCTATGAGCTTTATGTTGATCAAGATTGGCCAACTGATGTTTAACTGCATTACTGTTATCGTTTAAAAACCATTACCATATACTTTGATTAATGTTTCCTGGTTAAGCTATGGGGGACAAACCTCACAGCCATTTACTGTCTAAACCCATAAAGCTGGAACTCTTTCTGCATGTCTTACAACCAGCACCAATAAAAACTTCCTTAACCGTTGCTGATAAAGTTGATAAAAGCAGATCTGCAGGAAGGGGTTATTTCATCTAAATCCAAAGGACATGTCAGCAGCTGACCCGAGGCCCAGGTTGTCTTCTTCTTGGCAGAAAGGTTCGCATTTCAACACTTTTGCAAACATCAGTGAAGAGTTGCACTTTGTGTCTTAACCCCTTTTTAAAGGAAGTTTAAAACAAAAAGCAGAAACAGACCTGAGAAGCTGTTATTCAACTTGGAACTGTGGCAAGAAATCGCATTACACCACTTAAGATGTCATAGAAATGGCATTTTTCATGCAAGAGTGGATCGGCGAGGTTCTGCTTCAAAGTTCAGACACATTATATAACAGACCAGAAACAAATGAGACTTAATGCAGTTTTTGAAAACTACTGAAATAATGCAGCATATTTTGGTTTGTGCTTTTCCCTGAACCAGGAAGAGGAGTCGGTTTGGGACAATGCATGAGTCATTTATGCTGACAATGATGTACAAGACTATAGGGTGTTGTGCAGACCTCACCTTTTCTAAGAAAATGATAAGGAGACTTTTTCCTGAACAATTTAAACAGTAAGTCCACAGAGGAGAATATTAAAAGAATTTCCCAGACAAGAAGAATTTTTTACCATGATGCTTTACTAATCAGAATTATATCAGTTAAAGGTAAATGTTTAAACCACTTTGACCCTATTTGTACATGCATATAAAAAAGTTAAACAAATATGGAGTTTTTATGCCTATGTCTTTTAGTTTTAGCTGTTAAACTTATCAATGAAAGGCATTATAAGTAACAAACCTTTATGAGTAAATCAAGCTGGAAAACAGCTTTTAGTAATTAATGGACAAGATGTGGTATCAATGCAAAAAGGAGAACATGACCAAAGTTTAAAAAAAAAAAATAGCCAAAACTGCAAATAAAGAGTCAAACATCAAGTTTTTGATATTTGAGTTTTCTTCTTGATAGAAAAACTTAAGATATGTAAGTTGTTATCACACTTTGGCGCACCATTACCATTGGTGAGGCCAATGTAAAAAAAAAAAAAAGAAAAAATTCTAAGAACAGGAACAGGAAAATGTTGCAATATGCCTTTTAATCTCTTCTACTGTCTGTTTTAAAACAAGCAGCACAAGATCTCCAAACAAAAAGGTTCTGTTACCGTCAGTCAGCATCTAAAAATAGCTTTACTTCCTTCACAGCCTTTTAGTTTCAAGGTTTACTCTGTTCTAAAAGAATGTATGTTTAGTATTGTTAAGTGTTAAGAAAAATGATATGCAATTACAAATACAAAGATGAAAGCTCTTATAACCCACTCATTTGTTTTACAACGGTGAATGCCCTACTGA